CCGGAAGCACCAATAGGAACATTTCAGAGTGTTTGGGTGTCAATCCGAGGGTAGTGCAGAGGATTCAGAAAGAGTTGGATGAGTCAAATGGTGATTACGAAGGTACAGTAGCTCGGAAAACTGACACTAATCGTTCTGCTAAGAAAAAAATTCCCGAATTTGTTGGTGGGGGCCTCAGTTCTCAACACAGAGGCCTACACCAAGTGCCTTGATGAGACCCTAAAAGACCCTATGTCTGGCAACAGGACTCTGCACCATGCCACACAAGCGGGCGAATACAGTCATTGCTGTCAAACAATTTCTGCGACAACACCCCTTACACCTTGCCACTTAACTACCCCGATTGCAACCCCTTTGGTTACTATGTCTAGGCGCAGTTGAGCGAGAGACCATCAAAACTCAATATAACACCAAATATGAACTGAAGGCAAGGATTATTGCAGCATTCACCAACTTAAACAAGGAGACCGTCAAGAAGTGCTGCAGAAGATTCTGAAGACGTCTAGGAGCCGTGGTGGAAACCAATGGTGATATTATTGAATAAATTTACTCTTTAGTATTTCACGCTATTTTTGTGTCATTTTGGTAAATATATCTGTTAATGTTATTTCCTTTTTTGCGTAATTTAGACGACAATTTATCCATTGCGCCCTCTGTGTGTATATTGAACAATAAAAAATATTAAAATATTAAAATCTTCAGACACACTGGATTGCATATTAATATTCCTTCGTTTTTATTATTATTTCATTTAGATTCCTCGACTAGTTTCGGCCAACATGGCCATCATCAGGAGAAAAATAATTTTCTGCTTGCTGGTAGCAGTGAACTACAAAAATGAATGTCTTGATGGTGAAAATGAACTTTTGTCTGTAATTTTCATTTGTTTTTTTTTTAATTTTTTTTAAAATGAATTTTAGTCATTCTTTGTGTAGGTGAAACAGTCTCTTTTAAGTTGTTATTTGAAATAAGAGCTGGATGGATTCATGCTGCTCTGAATTACCTTGGTCATTTTGACAGTTTTATTGGTTCCTGGAAAGGGGGGGTGTCTCTGTTAAGGGTGTGTTAACATTTGGCTCATTAGGGAGTGAGTGAGTATGATGTGCGTAAGTGTGTATATTCGTGTGGGTATGTGTATAAGTGTGAGGCCTCAACAACTCCGTAAGCATGTCTGTCTTCTGTGGGTGAGAAATGTGGGTAGATTTTGGTTTGTAGAGTTATATATTAATACTATCTATATTGTTAAGTTTATGGTTAAGCCCGGCTGGATAGTGAGTTTTTAAACGTTGTATCCACTTATTTTCATGGAACTCTAAAATCTTTCTAATGTTATCTGCTCTGAACTATTCTATTCTCTCAATTATAGTGAATTTGGCATGGGTTTTAAAATCGCGTTTTTCTAGGCGGAAATGTTGTTCTACATGTAATAATCTTTCATGGGGAGTCGACTTAATTCGATTCCGATAATTATTAATTCTGTAGTGAAAGGGCCATTCAGATTTTCCTACATATTGTTTCTGGCATAGTGAGCATTCTAGGGGGAAAATTATGTTAGGACTTCTACAGTTAGAGTCATGGTAGATTTTAAAAGTAGATTTAGGGATTGAGCTAGTAAATGAATTGGTGTGTTTAATGTGGTTGCAGCATAAGTTTCTTTTGTTGTTACATGGTTGGGAAAATCCTGTTGTTTTTGTTGTTGGTTTATTACGGATTACCTTGTCCCCTGAAATGTGGTTACTACCTATGATTTCTTTTAGGTTCTTAGGTCTACGATATGCTAGAAGGTCGGTTTCCTCAAACAATTTTTTTAGGTCTGGTTTGAGATGTAGTATTTCCCAGCGACTTTTGATTATTTGGGATAGTGGAGGCAGAGTGGGGTTGAAAGTGGTTACTAGAGGGATGCAGCTGGGTTTATTTTTAATCTTGTACATTAGGGTGTCTTCTCTAGGTTTGGAAATTGCTTTATTTATTTGTTCCCTGATTAAGTGTTGTTTATAGCGATGTGTTGTGAATTGATGATCCAGATTTTTAATGTGTTTATTTAGTTCTTCATTGTTGGAACATATCCTTCTGAGTCTAAGTGCTTGTAAATAGGGAAGGTTCTCTTTGAGGTGTTTAAGGTGGGAAGACTTCAAGTGAGGATAGTTGTGGGTGTCGGTGATTTATGTGTGTAGTGTCGTTTGTATTTTCCTGTTTTTATCTATGCAAATGCAGGTGTCTAAAAATGTTACCGATCTTGTGGATTTTTCATATTCAAACTTAATTGAGTCGTGCACTGTGTTTAGGATCATGAGGAATTGTCGTCACTGCCCGTGTATACAAAGAATATATCATCGATATATCTTTCATAGAATACACAGTCGCTACCTATAAGGGGATAGATATGGGTCTCCTCAAATTTTCCCATGGCACAGTCCCTTACTTGAAGGTAGTGTGCTCCATTGAAGTTGAAAGTATTCAATGTAAGAATATGCTCCATGAGTTTTATGATAACTTCTGTGGAGGGGTCTTGTTTTCTTCTCTTAGCAAGTGCTTCCTGAAGGGCGGTTAGCCCTTCGATGTGTTTAATGTTTGAATAGGGGGATCTTACACCCATAGGCATTAGAATAGCGTTCTCTGGAACTGTTTGTATGTGATTAATTTTGTTTAGTAGATCTGTTGTGGCTCTGATGTAGGATTTTACTTCCTTAGCTAGGGGTTGTATGTAATGGTCTACGTATTTGGAAATTTGGGTCGTGTGGCAGGTGAATGATGAAATGACCGGCCTTCCTGGGGTGTTGCTTTTGCGTATTTTAGGAAGGAGATAGAAGCGAGCAGGTGTGATGTTTGTGGGTGTAAGTGTTGTGTATGTTTCCTTGTCGATTAGATTGTTGCGAAGCATTATGTTTAGTGAGCTAGTTAATTCTTTTTGGTATTCGGGAAGAGGATCTGCAGGTAAGCTTTTATAGGTTTCTTTGTCGGCTTGCTAATTGTTGGCCTCTTTAATGTATTCGTTGATTCCCCAGATCACTGTGGGGCCCCCTTTGTCAGCCTGTGTTATAATTAGGTCATCTCTAGGTGTCAGCGTGTCAAGAGCTATACGTTCCCCTTGAGTAGTATTGTCACGTGGCAGTTTATGTGCTATTGTTTTCTTTATGTCATTTGCTATGGCTATTTCAAATGTCTGTATAGTAATGTCTGTGTTTTGTGGGGTGTATGGAGTATCCTTCTCTTTTAATGTATCAAGTATGGAAGGTGTGAAATCATTTTCCTCGTAGTGGGGTTTTAGCCGTATTCTTCTGAAGAAGGATTTCAGGTCCATTGCCAAGATGTCTTTATCAAACCATGGGGCACTAGGGTAGAAATTTACATATATATATATATATATATATATATATATATATTTATACATTCTTTTATAGATACAAATATTTAAGTAAAAGCTCTGTTTATAATAAACAGTATTAAACAACATTTATCGGCCTGAATGTCCAAAAATTTTCATAGAAAATATTCGTCCTCCGACAGGATTCGAACCTGTATCCCTATATATATATATATATATATATATATATATATATATATATATATATATATATATATATATATGCATGTAAATTTCTGATACCACAAAACTTGCACATAGTTTTAAACAAACAAAACCACATTTTTTTATTTTTTTCTCAGTTCAATGATTAAAGATGAATTCAAGGAAATAAACCTTGTAAGTTTTAATGAAAACTGTCCTTCGCTGGTATCTTGTAGACGAGCAAGGTTAGGGTTGAGGATAGGATTAGGGTTACTAAGAACTTTACTAAATAATAAAAACTACATTACTTTGTAGACTTTTAAGACCAGCAATAACTAAAATGTAACTTGAAGAGAAACTAATGACATAATGAAGATGTCGACTTTCCACACTACCTTAAACAAAAGGTTAGGAAGGGAACTCCCATCAATACTACAAGGTATCACTAAAGTCTGGACACAAAGGAAACCTCACTAACTTCAGTTTTTACTTCCACAGATTAAACATGTTTTTCGTCGACAGAAGAAAGAATTGACTTCTTTTTCTTGGGTATGCTAACAATGAAGGTGTACTCGATGAAAATTACAAATGCAACGCACTTGATTGAACGAAGAGTGAATGTGCTAAAACTGACGGCAATTGCATCGAGTTCACGTGAATCTTGAAAAGGGCATCAACCTTTGCAATGATGATGAAAATCGTATTAAATATGTTATTTGTTAATATTCCAATTCAATAAAATGTTGTTGAAAATTCATTTCTTGAAAATATGCATCTTTACCTATGTGTCCAGACAATAGGGACAACCTGTATTGTTTTGATAAGTGAAATTGAGTAGGACATATGGCACAGTGGATAAAGGCGTTGGTTAGATCCAGTGACAGAATGCAATACCCGGTTAAGGCAGTGGAGAACTTTCAGAGGGAAAATTAACAGGAGATAACTGATAACTGACATCCATTAAAAACATGGCACGTGGAACTAGAACAGTCTACCCCAGTGAGCGAAATAAAGAGTTCAGTTCGACATTCCAACCACCTGAAGAAGGCCGGAGCGTACAACGGCCGAAACGTTGTAGTAAATATGGCGACAAAGATGAGGCCAATAGTCCGTATAATGTAAATAATGTACATAATGCCTCATCTCAGAAATATAGACAGATATTGAAGTTGAGAAATCTATTTTTCTGTTAAACTGTTTTAAGAGAGAGATTTTATAAATTTCAACCGACAATAAAGATATTCGGTCAACGAATACCGAATGTTTCCTTATAAAGAAACGGTTAATCTCAGCATTGCCTTTACCATTTTGCTATAAATGTATTTAAAAAAATGAAAGTCGGGTGGATTTTCTACAACTTAAAATGTCCTTAATTAAAATTATTTAATATTGAACAACTATTTCAAATTTTCTTTGGGCGTTTATCCGTTTAATGCAATCAACAGTAAACAATCTTCCCTCGAAGTTGAGGTTAACATATTTAATATGGAGCCTATAAAATATTAATTTTTTTTAGTGGGAGATGAAATGAGCGGGAGGGAAAGGGGGGAGGAAGAGAAACAGTATAATGGAGAAAAGCGAAAATCAACGAAGGAATGAAGACGGTAAAGAGAAAGCTGATAAGAAGAAAAATGGTTCCTAAATACCAGAGACGGTAAGAAAAGAGAGAAGAAAAAAAAAGACAAAAAGTATATAAGTTGAGAATGAATAAGGAAGATGAGACGGATTTCCAGGGCAGTTTTATTGATATAGTTTTACTGATAGTAGTAGTAGTAGTAGTAGTAGTAGTGGGAGTGATTATTATTGCTGTGGTTGTTGCTGTTGTAATAGCTATTATTCTCGTTTTTATGAGATAGATAGATAGATAGATAGATAGATAGATAGATGAATTCTGTGGACAAGACAGATTGTCATCAAATGACAAGTGGAGAAAATCTTACATTTTGCCGACGCGTTTCGTCTTCCGAATATATTTAACTATATTGTCGACATGGAAAAATAATAATAATAATAATAATAATAATAATAATAATAATAATGATTGCTTACTATAAAGGTAATTTACATTTTGCCGACGCGTTTCGTCTTCCGAATATATTTAACTATATTTTCGACATGGAAAATAATAATAATAATAATAATAATGATTGCTTACTATAAAGGTAATTTACATTTGTTGACGCGTTTCGTCTTCGAATATATTTAACTATATTGTCGACATGGAAAAAAATAATAATAATAATAATAATAATAATAATGATTGCTTACTATAAAGGTAATTTACATTTTGCCGACGCGTTTCGTCTTCCGAATATATTTAACTATATTGTCGACATGGAAAAATAATAATAATAATAATAATAATGATTGCTTACTATAAAGGTAATTTACATTTTGCCGACGCGTTTCGTCTTCCGAATATATTTAACTATATTGTCGACATGGAAAAATAATAATAATAATAATAATAATAATAATAATGATTGCTTACTATAAAGGTAATTTACATTTTGCCGACGCGTTTCGTCTTCCGAATATATTTAACTATATTTTCGACATGGAAAAATAATAATAATAACAATAATCCCTTAAAGGTAATTTACATTAACCAAAAAAAAAAGACTTAGACACAAGCGTCTATCTTTTTAAATTTGGATTTTTAATGTAACTATAACAACAAAAACATTTCGATATCATTTTTGCCTTGAAAAAGTCGGAAGACGAAACGCGTCGGCAAAAAACTAAAAAAAAATTTCCAATTGTCATAGATAGATAGATAGATAGATAGATAGATCAATCATTTCTGCTCCGAAACGTAACCTAACGTAAACAATGATACCATTGTCATTTGGACCTCGCTAAACTGGACGTTCTCTGTGGCTGAATGGTTAACAGTCCGTCAGACTATATGGCGGTTTCCGTTTGAGATACAGGTTCGATTCCTGTCGGAGGGCGCATTTTTTTCTACGAAATTTCTCAATCATTGAGGCCGATAAATGTAATTAATACTGTTTAATTAAAAAACAGAGCATTTACTCAAATAAGCTGTATCCATAAAAATAACATATAAACAGAAAAATATATTAAAATATTTGTCGGATTTAATCCAGTTCATCTTATATAGATAGATAGATAGATAAAAGGGAGAAGTTATCGTTGTTCCAACGAGAAAAAAAGTGCATATAAAAGAGGGGGGAAGCCGCAAACCTTTTTGGCTATAATGTGGATTTTTTTAAGTATATATTAAACTATATATATTAAGCAGAAGTGTATTTTCACTCCAAGAAGATTTGGATTGCTATGACATGCAAAAGACAATGGTTAAACATCGGAAAACCTAAGGAAAATTAATTCCTTTTAATAAAATGTAGAAAAAAAACGCTATTTGCCTGATGAAGGTCGTGAACCCGGAAACCCGTGTCGCAAAAGCATGGCAAATAAAGTTTAATATATATTGAAAAAAATCCACATTATAATCAAAAACGTTTGCGGCTTCTCCCCTCTTTTAAAATATATATATAGTGTCATCCGCAGACAGACTGTTTCGTAGCTCTTCAGCGTGGCTAGAAGTCTGACTACTTCGAAACCCAACCGATTTGACATCAATCTTACGCCTAAGCCATCGTCGCACGGCAGAGAAGAAGGTATTTACTATACGATTTACGCCATCTTGACAGGTGACACCTCAACCTACGAGAGAATGTGATGCATGTGTGACTGATGTAAGAATTTAATGTTGTTGTTTTTTTTATTGATATTGAAGATACAATCTCCCAGAGGGCATGAGAATTCATAAACAACATTATTTTTAAATGGGGGATTTTTTTAGGTCACGTGTTGTTGGTAACAATTAGATTAGATGTTTTGAACTTTTTATAGTAAATGATAAATCGAAGTTGTTTGTTAGGATCGTTAAGTGCTGTGTACTGACGAATTATATTTTAAATTGCTTTTTCATCCAGTTTATAATTAGGATGCATTCGGTTATGATACAATTAGGTAATGGTGTGTTTATTTTTGTTTATATCAGGGTGATGTCTTCCGTTATTCTTTCGAAATTTCGTTAAGGCTAATATAAAATTTGTTCAACATGTTTAGTTATTTTTGATAAGTGTTTGTTTAACGTATGCTTGGATTTTTATTATAGAATAATCTGTCCGAAGAAGATATTCTTTTATCCCGGTAAATCATGTTTTTATAGGGGCCATTTTGTATCTGTGAGGACACTCACTTTTCTAGTTGAGGAAACACCAGTTTCTGTTTGTTTTTTTTTGTTTTTTTCTATAGAGAATTGATAAAATTATAGCTGTTGTCAATTCAAACGTCGTGTTTATCCATAATTTCGATCCCAATATACAACAGTTTACTCGAAAATTAGAAAACTACAATAAAAAATTAAAAAGCTTTTAATCAACCTTGTTCGGATGAATAGTTTCTGTCTTATATACCTACATACAAAATATATATATATATATATATATATATATATATATATATATATATATATATATATATATATATAAAACTGTCCGAATGTTCTTTTTTATCCGAGCGCTTTGGCTATACATTTAGCCATTTTCAAGGATTAAATATTTTAACTGTTAAATAACAAATAGTTTGTTGTATGTATGTTTTATAAAATGTTTTCATTTTTCAAAACAATGTCAAGATACTGTGTTTATGTTCAAAGTTAATATTATTAAGTGTTGTTTTTTTGTTTTGTTTTTTATTAATAAGGCTTCCATTATATTTAGCCTTTTTTGCATGTAGATGATGCTATTATATTAGTGTTGTCAACAAGTATGTTACGAATAGTGTCCGGTAGGTGTCCATGAATATTTAAATGAGATCTAATTGAGCTATGGTCAGAAAGGGGTAGAGTGGGTCTGCATGTCAAACATGTTGTAGTGTGGCCGATATAATAATGCTTTAATTTCGGGTGAAAATAAAGCCAAAAATTGTCCAACATTTGGATATTTTTTATTAAGTTTTTCCTTGATCTAAGCTTTCTGCTCACATGAGCCATCTTCAGAGTGGTTAAGCGGACATTTAAACAAATAGATTCACCATAAAAGATGATATTCTATTATGTTGACATAGAAGATTGCTATGCCACGATAACGGTCGCGGAATATCAGACGCAGGTCGTAATTTCATGATTTTCTAGCGTCCAAAATTAAAGAAAAAATTGTAAATGCATATATAAATTATTAATATTATTCACTTAATATTGTTCCGGAATATTCATAATACGTGCTTATACACAGGAGAGACAATTAGTGGGTCAGAGCTTTTCTCAATATGCAATAAACTGTAGGGTCTTAAGAAAAGAGAAATGTCGGTATCAATTAATAAACAAAATGTTTTCAATAAGCAATGTTTCAGAAGCTTTATTTTTCACTTTGCTAATGATGCAATTGGATAGTACTTATGTATTTGTAACGCATTTAACTATTTATATCTACAAACTCACGAATAAACAAAAACAAATTCAAGAAGGCTCCAGTATGTCATAGTACTACTATACTTATATACGATTTTAGAAGTTTAGCGTTGTGGTGACATTTTTTTTAAATAAACTGAATTAAACCCTTCGTCATTAGTTTTTAACAAAATTTCATCGAATTATGATACAGGAAATCAATTATTTAACAAAAAAGTCAAAGTCATAATCCTAAAATACATATAAAATGATACTGATGATTAGCTTTTTATGTACCGTATTGAAATTCAGTATAAATATGATATCTCTTAAGGAATTCTGTAAACTTATCTTACCCAAAAGAGCGGCGTATATGAAAATCTTTAAATAGGAAGATAAGTTTTTTGAACTTTCATTTATTTATAAAATATGTGTGTCTGTGTGTTCATTCACGCTTTTCCATTTATCGGTCGATGAATAAGATGAATATAATACATTGATATATATAAGATCTACATTGATATATACATAGATAGATAGATAGATAGATAAAGAAATTTAACAAATGTTTAATTCAAAAGAGATTTGATTTCACGTTTCGACATTCAAGGCTTCATCAGATGCAAAACAGAAAGAAAGAAATGTGTGTATGTTTGTTTGTGTGTATGCTTAAATAATGAATCATAGTACTTTTCTCTAAGCTGGCGTTTCTCGTGATTAAAGAAGAAAGAAAAGAAAATGAGTGACATTTTAAAAACATCATTAATATTTATTCTGTATCTTTTCTTTAAGCTTCATAAAAATTATTAAAAAAAAACGATACAGAATAAAAACTTAAAAAAATTAAAACTATATCGGTATTCTATATTCTATATTTAAAAACATACATATATGTGTGTGTATGTTTGCTTGCTTTGTGTGTGTGTGTGTGTGTGTGTGTGTGTGTGTGTGTGTGTGTGTTTATAATTTTTAAAAAACACTTCGACGTTATTTTGCCATTTAGGGGAAATCGCCCCGCTTTGCTGTCAATGAGTGCAAATTTTGTATTCCTCCGGTGTTATAAAACAAATCCGCTCTTCTTATGATATCTTTTTTTTTAAATTGCTTTTGAAGATCTTTTCCGAAATGCATATATTCTTCAAACCTTCCGGAAACTGTCATGACAATTTCATAATTACTATTCAATTTTTCGCAAATAAATTTCTTCTCTGTATCATTTCTGTGCCATTTTGTATTTGATTCTAACTTTTGGTATATATATATATATATATATATATATATATATATACGAGGTTTGTCCAAAACGTATCGGAACTGTCGCTATGTTAACTGAGCTAAGTGAAGCCGCTTGGTACAGATTGACCTTCAATTCTGTTGCGCATGCACACTAAGTTATAAAGTTCTCGCTCACTTCCGTTGTTTGTCGGAGTGTTTGTAAGGAAGGTATATAGAATGCAGTCATCCCACCG